CACCCCGCCCCCCCCGCGAAAAACCCCTCCAGGAGGGAGCAATCCCGGAGGAGACCCCAAGACCTTCCCCCCACAAAGGCGATTCCCCAAGGAGCAGCATCCCCCAGCAGGGGATGGCAGGGCCCCCACCGCCCTGCCCCACTCCCGGCGGGGGGGGGGGGGGGGGGGGGGCTCGACTTCTGGGGCCACCCCGTCCCTCTGCACCCCGGGGCTGTGAGGGGGCTCAGGGACTGTCCCCTGCCTCGGAGAGCGTTCCCTCTTCCCGCTTTGTCCCGGGGGGCTCGCTGCGTCCTGGCTCTCCTTTGCCCTGTCCTGCAGGGCATCCGTCCCTCCCAGTCATCTGCACCGTGGCGACCACCAGGAAGGGGGGGCCACAGCAGAAAGGGGACCACCACAAAAAGGGGGACCACCACATAAAGGGGGACCACCACAAAAAAGGGGGGCCACCACAAAAAGGGGGACTAGCACAAAAACGGGACCAGCACAGATAAGGGGGACCAGCACATAAAGGGGGAACCACCACAAAAAGGGGGACCCCCACAAAAAAAGGGGGACCACCACAAAAACGAGGGACCACCACAAAAAGGGGGACCAGCACAGATAAGGGGGACCACCACTTAAAGGGGGACCACCACAAAAAAAGGGGGACCACCACAAAAAAGAGGGACTACCACAAAAAAGAGGGACCGCCAGAAGGGCTTGGGGTTCAGCCAGCCTGGCAGCTCCAGAAGCAGAGGGCATGGTGGGGCACTACTGTGACCTCCTCTCAGGGCTTTTGATGCCTGGAGGATCTCCAAAGCTTGGCCCAGGCTGGTGCCCACCCAGCCCCAGGCGCTGAAGATGACATTTAGCAGGTGGTTTGGCCTGATTATATCCGCGCAATATTTCAGTTTTGAAACATATCAATTTTGGAAACATTTCAGTTCTCGTGCCCTCGCAGAGCCGGCCAGCAAGCCTGGTCAGGCTTGTCCCACTGGTCCAGCACAATATCCCAGGGGCTGGTAAAGCTGCCTGGAGCTCCAAGACATTTTAACCCCTGGGGTGCTGGGTGCTGTTGGGGAGCTGAGCATCCCCGGAGAGGCCAGGCCACATCCTAACACCTCATCCTCGCCGTGGCAGGACTTCATGTGTTCGTCACGACTGTATGGTAAGATGGAGTCACGCCATGCAGCCTCCTTGCCTGGCAGCATCTCCCATGCCCTGGCCAGCACGTGGCCTCTTTGCCCAGCACCCTGAGGTCCCTTGGGGAAACCGAGGCACCGAGGGTGCGGCCTCATCTGCCTGCAAAGTCATCAGCCCACCACGGCCCGAGTGCAAGGCTGCAGATCAGGTTTATTGTCCATGGAGAGTGGATAGAAAGGAAGCTTACAAAATAAATAAATATCTACATATGCTTCTATACAGTCCACACGCCCCCTGGGAACAGACCTCACAGCACGCATGCAAAAGCACTTTGAAGCATAAATTAACGCAATCACTTCTTACAAACCGCTGTGTTGGGAAGGCCCAAGACCTCCAGTGCCGTGCTGGACCCCAGCCCCAGCCCGCTGGTGGGACCCCAGCCTGGTCCAGCCAGCCTTCGTGCCCCGCTTCGGCTGCCCACCCCCAGACTACCATGCTTGGCCACAGTGTCCCAGGCTCTTCCCAGTCCGATCTGCTCAGCTCGTGCCCCTTCCAGTCCAAGATGCCCAGCCACGCAGCCCACTGCGGGGACAGCAGGACATCAGTCTGTGCCCTGGTGGCATATTGGCCAAGGGGCATGGAAGCAAACTGGCACATGCTGGGGTGCCAACTCATTCCCATCGTGTAACATTGTAGGCAAAGGATGGGTAGGGGAGGTGAAACCAAGGACAAGCAATGGAGCTCAGCCTCAGTTTCCCTGCTCAGGTCTTCACCTAGCTCCTGCAGCTTCCACTGGGAGGGCAGCAGGAGCTCCAGCCGGGCAAGGTCCCCACCACACAGCAAGCTGCGTGTCCCCCGCCTTTGCACACCCACAAAGACACATGCACACAGACACGCACCCACATGCACGCTCTATCGATGTTGCTTCATCGCCTTGACAAGCTCCTCCAGCTTCAGGGCAAGATGCAGGTCGCCCTTCACCTGCAGCCTCCCGCTCATGTAGGCACTCAAGGGGCGCAGGTCGCCCAAGAAGAGGTCCTGCAGGTCTTTCTCCGCCACCTCCAGAACGACGTCGGGGCTGCCCTCCGGAATGCCGCGGCCAGCCCGCCCGCTGCCTGCAGGACACGATGGGTGGGAGAGGGAGAAACAGCAGGCTTCAGGATTTGGCCTTGCCTGCTGCCATTTCCCCCCAGCATTTCATCAGGACTGGCCAGATGAGAAACAAGGGCCTGGCAGGGCGATTTTGGAGATGGGAGTCCTTACTCCTGATGGAGATAAATTTCTCTTGTGTTGCTTCACCAATGTCCCGTGACAGTGGTTCACCTCCAAGCCCTATCCTGCTTTTGCCATGGTGTGCTGGTTTGGGCTGAGATAGGGTTAATTTTCTCCACAGTAGCTAACACGGGGCCATCACTCCAAACGTCCTCCCCTTCCTCCTCCTTCCCCCAGCTTCTGACTACTGAGCATGACGCCATATGGCATGGAATATCCTTTTGGTCAGTTGGGGTCAGCTGTCTTGGCTGCATCCCCTCCCATCTTCTTGTGCAGCCCCAGCCTACTCGCTGGTGGGGTGGGGCGAGAAGCAGAAGAGGCCTTGATTCTGCTCAGCAATAAAGAAAACATCCCTGTATCATCAACACTGTGATCAGCACAAATCCAAAACGTAGCCCCATACCAGCTACTGTGAAGAAAATTAACTCTATCCCAGCCAAAACCAGCACACGTGGCCACTAGGAGAAGCATCAACACCCGCAGGGGAATGAAATGAGTGCTGCAGTGCTCAGCTGATGGACCCTGGAGCCTTTCATGGAGCTACCAAACCGGCTTGGTTTTGGACCCCCTACCACCAAGCTTGGTGGGGCTAGCAGCATGCAAAGGGGGCACGGGCACGAAACACTCTCCCACCCCCAACACAACAACCCCAAAGAGCGGTGACCTGAGGAGAGGTCTATGAAGTAGGTGCTCCGGGCGCCGCTGGGCAGGGCGATGTCCACCTGGTAGGATGCTCCCACCTGGCCAACCAGGGCCTCGGAGAGGACACGCTCCACTGCCAAGAGCAGTTCCTCTGCGCTGGGCTTCCTCCGCATGCTGCTGGCGGTGGTGAGGAGGGTTGCGGTGGGAGGTTCCACCTTGTTCACTGTCTCCACGCTATCTGCTGGGGACAGAGGGACAGAAGTGCATTGGGGGGATACCTCCAAGTGGTGAACTTCGCTGGTCTGTGTGAACCACCAGCGAAGGTCTCTGGAGGAGAGAAACACACTTATTCATCAAGTTTCCAGCTCAGCAAGAAGAGGACAACATGGTTTTGCCAGTTCCTACTGCCTGCTCCTCTGCCTCCCACGGGTTACTCTTCCCCTGCTACCAAGGGGTGGAAAACTATCCCTGAAAGAAATAGTGGGGCACAAAATGTTGAAAAAAAAATCCATGTTGCCCTCAGATGTGACCCTCTCAGCAAGCTCCAGCTCTTCCCTATGTTTGCCTGAGGGAAATGCTGAGGTCTGAGTTGGTCTTGAGCCCAGGTTCCTGCAGACCTGCTCCTGCCCTCCCCAGTCCCATCTCCAAGGTCTTGTTAGAAAGGTGGTGGTGTGCCACGTGCTGTATGGAACCGTGCCTAAAGCGGTCCTCTCTCCTCTCCCTACCAGCCTATTTATGCTGTGCTCCTAGAAGCGTGATACCTCCCAGACTTTGACTCCTCTGTCAAACAGCCAACAGACACAAAGGTTGTTGGGTAGGAGGGACACTCCCCGCAGAGAAGTGGTGGCCCTGGGTTGCTTACCTGCCTCTGGAGCACTGGTCCCACTGCCCGCCAGAGCCAGGGTGTTGCTGAAGAAATGGGCAGCCAGCTGCTGAATGGTTCCATCCAGCCCCTCCAGCCCAGGGACAGGTGGCAGGGTGGCCACAGGGCCCACCAGATTCTCCTGAGGTGGCTGCAGCACAGCCTCCATGTTCAGCTCCACCCGATCCACCTCTAGGCCCCAGGACTTGGTCATGTCGTTAATCTCCAGCTGCAGAGCCAGGAAGAAAGTGAGAGGTGTTGGCACCCCAGGCAGAGCTGGAAATGTCCATGGAGACCACCCACCGTAGCACCCCCAACTGCAGGCATCCCATAGCTTATACTGCTGCTACCCACCAGCTTTAGATGTGGGGTGTTGGACCAGGCTCAATAGTCCACCTCATCCAAGCTGTCCACTCTCATGTTCAACCCTGCTCCCCCCTCACTTGCTCTCCTGGCTTGGAGGAGGTTGGAATACGGACGACAACTAGGACTCTGTCTTGTTCCCCTTTCCAAGGCTCCCTGCCAGGCTGGCCCCTTTCCTTGCTCCCTCCTGGGCAACGTGTCCTGGCATGGTGCTCCACAAGGCAACATCTCCAGCCTCCAAACCACCCCAGACACCGCAGAGACACCAGTACATCCCCCCTGCCTCCTTTCATATCATCCTTTGTAGACATTCAATCCACAAGCTCTTGGCCTGGCCCAGGTCGGCTGTGGGCACTACTCATCGCCCCTCTGCCACTGTCCTGCCCTGCTTCTCTTCTCAAAGGCGCTTTCCAGTTTGCAGCCCCCTCCAGACATTTTCCTGCTGGAGATATGGAGGTCAAATTTAAGCCTGCCAAAAGCACATGGGCTCTTCTGTGTTGCCAAAGCCTGTGGAGATAAGCCACAGAGCTCCAGAGATCCACAGATTGAAGGTATCTGCTCCCCACTAATAACCACGTCTTCCCAGCTCCCCTTCTTGGCCAGGTCCATGGCCAGATGGACCTTCAGCAGCTACAGCTTTCCCTTACTGTTACTTCCACACCGAGAACCCAAGGGTTTGTGGGGCTTGGGGTACTCTGTGCAGGGCTGGGGCAGTCCTCACCAGTAGCTGCTCCCCAATCCTCAGCTTCTCCACCTGGATCTCACAGAGGGTCTTCTTCATCAAGGTCTTGGTCATGGCGTTCTGCGCCGTCATCCGGGTGGCTGCGATGAGGTCCTTCACCATCATGACGGACAACACGGGGTCCCACACCCGGAACTGGACGTCGGCGCCCATGGAGATGACCGCCCCATCCTTGGAGGTCAGCTAGGGCAGACGGCAGTCAAGATCTCTCCCCTTCTCCACCCCATGGCCCAACCCTTGTGCACATAGCCTGGGAGCAAAGGCATTCACTTCTTTCCCAGCTGGCCACCAACTCTAGATATCTTTATTAAGAGGGTTATTAGACACAAAACCAACCCAAATGATGAAGTTTGGGCTGGTCTGAATGGTGAGGACAGTTACCAGCATGGGGCTGTTATTGAGGGACATCTGGGAAGGATTGGGATTGATGTTCTGAGATGTCTCCAGCCAGCAAAGTGCATTGAACAAGGTGTGCAAAGTCAAGAGGAGCTTTTCAGCCGCAGGCAGGTAAGGACTCTGGGTTCACAGCACCAGCTAAGACCCCCCATTCACCTCGCCGTGAGGATGGAGTAACTGATAGTAGGGTCCATACACAGCACCAAGGGTCAGACCACCCCCAAATTCACCTGCTCCAAGTATTTTCAAGATGTCTCTCCATCCAGTCCTGAGGCCCAGTGCAGCTCACCTTGCACGGGGGCACGTTGAAGGCTCTTGTCCTCAGATCCACTCGCTGCCAGTGATCGATGAAGGGCAGCAGCAGGACCATGCCGGGTCCCTGCGGTGCCCGGATGCGGCCTAGGCGGAAGACGATCATTCGCTCGTAGGCGGGCACGATCTGCAATGGGAAAGTTTAGACCAGGGCAGAAGTAAAACCCAGGGTCCTGTGGTGCCAAGGAGTGATGGGACCAGAGGCAGCTGGAAACGGTCTCCCCATGGGGGACAGGTTTTCCTCCCTTACCTTCAAGGCAAACCATCCTGAGATCGGGAAGGTGATGACCATCAGCAAGAAGACCAAGGAAGTGATAATCCCATGGCAGATCGAGGACAACCAACCCTGGGAGGAGTCTGCAGGGGGATGAAAAGAGGGATGTACTGCTCCAAAGCCCCCTTCCCTGCCTCTGAACCCCCAGCCACGCCTCTCCCACCCACGCACCCCAGGGAAGCCGGCAGCGTGGTGGGCACCCAGCCAGCACAACACCCTACAGTGGAAGTGGCAATAGGGAGGAAGGCAGCAACTCCCCTCTAAGGTTGGGACTCACCTGTGGTATTCCCAGCTGGCCCCAGAGGATCTTTCTTGGGTCTGAAGGAGAAGAAGCCCTTCTGGACACCGTAGAGCCCGATGCTGGACTGCTGGAAGCGGTCGAAGTCTCCCAAGGGAAGGGCCTGGTATCCCGACCGGCTGAACATGGTGCTCACGCCTTGCACGGGGCCCCGCTCCCGGTGCTCAGAGCCCCCTGAGCCTGACTCCCCACTGCCATCGCTGCCACCTCTGCGGCCAGCACGGCTTCTGCCTGCCCCTGACCCGATGCAACGTCCCTGCCCGGCTGCCTGCAAACCTCCTCGCCCTGACGTGCCACCGGAGACGCCGGAGAAGATCTGCCAAGCCCTGCTGCTATGGCGGAGGATGCTTGCTAGAAGAAATCAAATCCTTCAGGGGGTTTCCTTGCTGGGGCCTCACCCGGGCTGGGGGGCTGGGGGCTTCACATCCTCTCGGTGATCTCCTGGGCAAGAGCCGAGCAACAAAAGCCGCGGCCCCGCAGCCGCCCCCCACTTTGGACA